TGACCCTAGAGGACAGTAGACCTGTCCTATAGGGTTTCTGAGACGGTCACTGTTTAGAGGAGCAGACAGCTTCATTTTTCTCCTGAGTTAGCTGCCCAACACTGTACTAGGAAAACTTCTCAATCTCGGGGTGTGTGTGTGTGTGGATGCTTTGATTTAAGGCTTGTCTGCTCCTACCCTCTCTCCCCAAAGCCTGGTATGAACTGCAGTAGGCTGGATGGTCACCACCAGCAACAGCTACTCTGAGTGTTTTAGACCCAGAGGCGACGCTGAAGGCTGGGTGGTGACACCGTTCTGTCCCCTCCCTGGACCTCCCCAGGAAGGGCAAGTGTAGCGGAGTGACAGGTGGCAGGGATGTTTGCCCAGTGAGTGGACAAGATTTCTCTGGCGGGTTTACAACCCACAATGGACATTAACTGCTCTGTCTCAGGAGTGTCAGGTCTCCTGGTCGGGGTGGGGCCAGGGTGTGTCTCCACTTCCTCCAGTTTCTCCCAGGTGACTCATAGAGGCCACCTTGAGTCCTTGGGTCCCTGCTCGTCTGTTTTGTTTCATACATTTGCCCACATGATGGCTGTGGATGTGATTATTTCAGCCTTGGGTCCCCCCTGGGGGAGACATCTGTCTCCCTTCTCAAAGCCTCAGCTGTCCCATCTATGAAATGGGACAATAGCATTCCCTCAAAGGGTAGGAGGAGCAACCCCCTCCCCAAAGAGGAAAAGCCCCCCTTCTGAGGCATCCCACAAAGCCTGTAAGAAAGGAGAGTCATTCCTGTCCAGCTCACATCCTAGGGAGCTCAGGCCCAGAAATCACACCGAGCCTATGAAACCCCATTGCTCCTCCAGCTCACCGACCCAATGTCAATACCATGCTAAAGCGAGATTTATGACCCTTGGTGCCACACACTGGCTTCCTCCTCACCCCCACGGGCCTCCTGCCACAGGGCAAAGGCCTCCTGGGGTGCATGGGACTTCGGGGGTGGGGGTGGGGGGTCTTCTGACATTTCTCAGGCTATAGCTTCCTGGACCCTGGCTGGGCAGAACGCTATGCCTCGAGACCTGCCCTGACCCGTGTCCAGGCCCTGCCTCAACCCCATGGAATTCCAGCCTGAGCCCCCCGCCCACCCTAGGACTAGGTATGTTGTTGTTGTTAAGTGAGTATAGCTAGGCTCAACCCACACCTCTTCTGTCTCCAGACCAGACTTTGAGCCCAAATTGGGGGCTGTTTACTCCCCCAGGTAGGACTGGCTCTAAATGTCTCCCCCAAAGCCTCCAAAATCCAGGACCAGTGGGGGACTTAGATCTGAGGGTCCTGAGAGGGTGAGGGGTTGTGAGGGATGGGGTGTTTGTAGATTTGGAGTGCTTGAGGAATGGGGTGCTGTGTGGGTTCGGGGTGCCTGAGGGTGGCGTGCTGTGAGGAGTGGGGATGCTGTGAGGAATGAGGTCCTGTGTGGTATGGGGTGATATTAGGTTCCCCGGAAGGTGTTGTATGACTTGGGGATACTGTGAGGAGTGAGGTGATATGAGGGATGGGGTTCTTGTGGGGTGGGGGGCCTGGGCAGAGGAGGGTCTAGGCCCCTGAACGATACTACAGCAGGGCTAGAAAGGGAAGGGTGCATCTTCCTCAGGGTCCCTGCAAAGTCAGCACCCCATTACACAAGGACCTCCACCCAGCACCCCTCCGTCATAAGACCCCTCCCTCATAGGACCCCTCCCTCACAGCACCCCACCCCTCACTGCACCCCCCCCCCACTGTACCCCGTCACTGCACCCCACCCCCACAGGTTCTGCCCCAGCTTTCGGCCCGCCTGTCCCCCAAGCCCCCAGCCTTACCAGCCGGCTCCAACCCCAGCAGCCTGGGAGCCTGGCTGGGGCTCCCTCAGCACCCCTGAAGCCCGCCCCCCGGTTGCCAGGGGACCCAGGCCCCGCCCGAAGGCGGCAGGTGCACCTCCCGGCCCCACCCCAGCCCGGAGACAAAGTCCAGAGCAGGAGGGAGAAAGACGATACTGGGCAGGGAGGGAGGGAAGGGCGGGCAGAGTGATTGCTACCCTTGGCCTCCACACCCTGGGGCCTCCACACCTGCCTGCCTGCCGGAAAACCCCTAAAATCTCTATCAGTAGGAAGTCAATGTTCAGAGAGGGCGTGGCACTTGCCTGAGGTCACACATTCTGGCCACACGCCAGCTGCCTGGGTTGGGGGTCCAGAGGGTGGGCTAAGTCCAAACCCTCACTTTTCCATCTGGCTCCATCCCCCTACGCAGCCCCTTCCTCAGATCTCCTTGGAGACCGGCTGGGCCTGGGATGGGATGGGATGCCGCTGAACCCCTTTCAGCCTCCGTCTTCTCTGTGAAATGGGGACTTTCCAGCAACTGTCTCCTTTGGGGCTACTGGCAGGATTCCCCGGTCTGCTTCCATGTAAAGGGTCCAGCAAGGACATCAAAAGTGCTAGTAAATGTTGGCTGGATGGGCAAAACCCAGGCCCACGGATAAGGCAGATGGGGACGCTGAGGCTGGACACAGCTGGATGGGAGATCTCCCAGAGGGACCTGGCTGTGGGGTCCCTCTGACCCATAGTCTCTTCTTCCCTCAAATGGGCCCCAAGACTAGAAGTTGCCCATGGAGGGGGGATTGAGGACAACACAAATAAGGGCTCAGCCCAGGGTAACAGCTTGAGCCCCTAACAGGTGCTGGGGTGCACAGTATTGCTGGCTTTCCCCAACACCCCTCATTTAACTGGTACGGAAGCTGAGACTCGGAGGGCTCGCTGGGAATCCTGTCAAAGACTCAGAGGGGTCTGTGGTAGGGCTGGGATTGGGACCACATTATAGATCCCACAGTCCTCATGTTCCCATTGCACAGATGGGTAAAAACAGGTGGCCCCTAGCATGCTAGGGCTACTGTGGAGATGACCAATTGTTCTGCTCTCAGAGCAGGGGAAAACTGAGGCCTAGAGACGACAATGATCTCTCCAAGGTCACATTGAGGTCACAAAGAGGAGGTTGTTCCCCAGTTTCCCTAAACATAAAAGCAACCCTTATAATCCCCCCACCCCCACCCACTGCCCTGTCCCTCCATCCATTTCCCAGGACTGGCTTCTCTGAAGAACCTGTGGGGTTCGGTGGGGACCCCTCTTCCCTCTCTGGGGGCTTTACAGGGATAGGTGCAGAACTCAAGGGTTCTAAGAGAAACAGAAAGCAGGTTCTGCTGCCCAGGAGCTGGCCCCCTCCTCCAAGGACTTACCTGGCCAGGTGCTACTCAGGTGAGCACAGGTGTAGGCGGACGAGGAAGTCAGATGCCAGGTGTGGAGTCCACCAATGCTTCCCACCCCGCAGCACCCACAGGAAGTCTGGGGAGAGTGTGCCGCATATAGGGGATGCCAGCTTACCTGGGCCCTGGTTCAGTCTCCCTTTTATGACTGCACCTACTGGGACCAGGCGCCACCCCCTGGTGTTGACACACCCTCCCCACCCAGGGGAGACCCAAGAGTTCCAGGAACTCAAGCTGTTCACACTGTTTATTTGCTTCTCTGGGAAATTAAGAACTTCGAGGGCCTTGTCGCACATCAAAAGCAGAGAGGGACAGCAAGGGCACTTCAGCAAAGGTTCACAGCTCAAGGGACTCGGGGGCAGACTGAAGGGAGGGAGAGGAGGGGTCCACAGCCACTGCCCAGGGGCACCCCTCAGAGAGGGCCTCTCCTCCCAGCCACAGAGAGGGACTGAGCTGAGACTGGAACCAGGCTCAGGGCAGAGGTGGTCCTCACCTCACCATGCTAAGACTGGGTGTGGTAACTGGAGGTGGCCTGGGCACCAGGCTGGAGGCCCCTAGGGAAAGGGACAAGATGGAGCCTGGTAGTTCAAAGTCAGCATATGAGAAGAGGATGTCTGTGAGAAAGTGCATGAATGTGCCTCTGGGAACAAGTGTGGCTGCACCCAGGGACACATGAGTACACATTGGATGTTGGCTGTCCCCCAAAATGGAGTCCCTCACCTCTCCCAGTGAGAGGGGACAGGGAGCAGGCTCATCCCAGGCTGGGTGGAAAATGGGGTTCCCTGCTCCAGGAGCCTCCCTGCCAGGCTGTGCACACCCCACTCTAATAACTGCAAATGCTCCAAACCCAACAGGGCTGGCGGATAGGGCCTGGTCTCTGGGGTGTAGTCAGATGGGAGAACCCAGGACCCTGGCCCAAGCAGACTATATAAGAGGCCAGGGGGTGGGCCCCCAGGGTCCCCAAATTAGCACCAGGAGGAAGGAGGGCCCAGAAGGGGTGGGCGCTAGGGACCAAAAGTGGCTCTCGTGGTCCCTGCCTCAGGCAGGGGGCATCTCAAAGACCCCTGGCCCACCCTATGCAGAAGACAGCCTGGGGCTACAGGCCTGGCTGAAACTGGGGGTGGGGACGGGTCTCCAGGGCTCCCCTTCTCTGGCCCGTGCCCGAAGGGGGCATGTGGACAGGACACAGACAGGAAGTGTCCAGAGCGGCCCATCCTCTATTCTGAGACCTCAAGCCTGGTGTCCCCCTGAGACCCGCCCCCCCCTCACCCCAGAGGCGCTTTTGTCAAAACCCTGCGAGCGAGGCCCTATTTCTGGGGTCTTGGTGGAGACCCTCCCCTACAGGGCTTACTCTCAGAGACCTTATCGGGATGGCAGGAAGGCACGGGAAGGAAGCCCAGAGGGTGGTGGACTGGCCACCACCGGGACTGTCTTGGCGTTCGCCGGATCTGTGAAGCTGCCAGAGTGGGGGAGGGGGTCGTCGTTTCGGGAAAAGCGGGTCTCTCCCACCAGGCACAGCCGCCCGGCTCTGTGATTCCGGATGGGGGTGAGGGGTGGGGACGGGATGGGGACCCGTGTCCCTCGCTTTCCAACGAAAGAAAAATCAGAAGGAATGATAACTCCGTGTGTCCTGGGGCCCGAAAGGTGGCAAGTGAAGGGTGGGCAGGCGCCGGGAGGGGCCGGGCTGGTGGGTGTCATGGTTTGGAGGTCGGGGCCAGGGTCTGGGGGCCAGGCTAGCTCACATGACCGAACAGCATTTACAACGCTGCTTCTTCATGTCGAGGTCCTGGGGGTCGCTGGCAGGGGGCTCGGGCCCTGCCTGGTTCTCCTCCCTGGAGCCCGTAGTGACGGGGGGCTCGGCGGCACTGCCATTGGGGGGTGCGGCCTCCTTGGCATCAGCTGCGTCCTCGATGACCACCAGCTCCGCTGTAATGGTGTCCTGAAGTCCCAATACTTTCTTGGTCTCGGCCTCATCCTCCACATTCTGGTAACCCATGAAGATCATGGTGACTGGGGGCTCCTGGCCAGGCTGGGCCCCCGGCGGACCGGACGTGGCCTCACCCGGCTGAGCCTGTACTCCGGTGATCTCCCGCCGGGAAGGCGTGGTCCGGACAGCCTCCTCCACAGCCCCCCGGGTCTCTACTGGCCCGGTCGTGGACCCTGCCTCGCTCAGCGTGACTTCGTCCGCCTTGTGGATGAGTTCGTCCACCTCGGAGGAGCTCAGCGGATGGATCCCGTTGTCTGCGGTGCCGTCCACAGCATGGACCACTATGAGGGAGAAACAAAGTGAGCGGGCCTCCCAGATGTGAGCAAAGGTCTAGGCAAACCGCAAAACCTCTTCAGAGGGTGGCAACATCGCCTCAAGTTGAAGAGGAAATAGTACACTCAACTCCACATTTAGAATGAATTAACCACTGAAACCACCTATTTGGTCTGTAGGCCCAGCCAAGGTGGTCTGCAGAGGAAAATTTATAGCTGTAAAAGCATTTAGGAGAAACCAAAAAAGGCTAGCGACAAATGAATTGCAATTATACTGCCTTGCATTCTGAAATGCTGTCATATGTCTCAGCTGACCAGCTCCCCCACAATCACCCTACAAAACAGTTCTCTATTTCCTTTTCCATTGTGAATGGTTGAAGGTGGAGGTGCACAGAGGGGAAGCAAGTGGCCCCATGCCACACAGCTGGTCAGAGCTTGACTGCTACCCTTTACCACAGCCTATTTCTCTTTCCCTTATAAGACTATGTACATCCCTTCATGGACGCTAAGGGTTTGAGGCCACGAGGGTCCAGATAAATCCCCTCCCAGGATTTGACTGCTTTTGGATTAAAGCTTAGCATACACTTCACAACAACAACATACACTTCACCCAGTCTTTCTTCTTTACTGATAGACTGAATTATGCCCCCCGTAAAACATGTGTTGTGAATCCTAACTTCTATGCTTACAGCCGTAATCCCATTTGGGAATTAGCTGTCTTTGTTATGGTAATGAGGCCAAAGGGAAAATAAGGAGAAACTCAGTATTATTCAGCCAGAACAAGGCCAGGAGCCCACTGTGGGGGAAAAAAAAACCCATCAATTGCCCACAGGCAAATTCAGGCTAAAGCTGAACAAAATTAAAACAAGTCCTTGAAAGCCAAATCTGTGTTGGAAAAAGTATAGCCAGCGTGCTCCTTAGAAACCAGGATGGCCACACTTGGTTTCTCATACTTAGGACGTGTGATCAGGAGGGACCAGTTCCTAGAGAAAGCCATTATGCCTGGCAAGTAGAGGTCAATGAAAAAGAGGAAGACCCCCAACGAGACGTACGAGACGTACCGACACAGAGGCTGCAACAACAGACTCAAAAATGCTAGTTGTGAGAATGAAACAAAACCTGGCAGTGTTTTCTTGCGTCCTGCATAGATTCAGTGTGAGTCAGGGCTAACTCGAAGGCACCTAACAATAGTGTAGTATGCATCTTGAGTCAACCTCTTTGAAGATATAAAAGAGGTTAAAACGCAAGCTAGCAAGGAGGGACAGGGGAAGAGAGATGCCAAGCCCATGAAGAAAGAGAGAAAATCTTCCTTAGAACCGGCATCCTGAATTCAGACTTCTAAACTGTGAGAATATAAATTTCTGTTTGTTAAAGTTACCCACTTATGGTATTTCTGCTACAGAAGTGCTAAGATAAGACATACACCAATAGCTATACATTTTCCTCTGAGAGCTGTGTTGGCTGCATCTTGTAAGACTATACTAGGGGACTTCAAAAAGTTCAATGACAAAATGGAATTAAAAGATAGTGGAACTTGCCCACAAACTTCTTGAAGCTCCCTCTTACTCTTTTTCAAGGGAAAACAGTATGTAATTTCCACTCAAATTATTTCTTTAACCCAAGAAGGTTGTTCTTAAATTTCAGAGGGTGAAGAACATAGTCCACAAGATAGAAACTTTTCAGCAGTCCTTACAGGCTCGTTCTCCTATGTTTGAATGGGTGGAGTGCTAGCTGTCTTGTTCAGTGTGTTTTCCACAATCTCTCCAAGTTCGCGTATCTATCACCGTCACAAAGTGTCTAACCAGTTGCTTTCTGAGATGGGCTGCAGTCTCAAAGGACCAATTCCAGTGTCAGGAAGATCTCCTGAGTATAGTCTGACCTCAGCCCAGATCACAACTCTGCAAATTCTCTGTACAAACACAGCTGTCTGGGATGCTAGGGGACCAGGGAGGGATGGAATGGATGGCCCCAGGGACTCACCTCCTCCCTGGCCAAGGATCAGGGCTCCTGTCCTTGGCTTCCAGACAGAAAGTGCTCCCCACTGTCAACTGCCTGAGGAGTCACGTCCCCCCTTAAAGGCCTCACAGAGCTGTTGGACTGGAGGCCCATTGTGTGGGATGTGCCTGGGTCTCACGAGTCCAGCTGAGCGTTTCCCAGTAGCCATGGTCCCAAGATAGGAATCTATACCCCAGTAGCCATGGTAACAGATCACCTTCCTATTACTAAGCAACCAGAGTCCAGTCTGGCCGATCCTGAATCCCCAGGGCAGGGCCATGTGACCCCAAGATGCCAGCCAGGTGAAAGTGGTCGGAGCAGCTGACATTGAGGATGTACTGGGCACACACGTGTCTTCTCTGCCCTCTGGAGATCCCCAGTGCTTGTTCCAGCCCAAGGGGTGAGATGTCTGGGGTCTGCTCAGTATGACTCACGGGGGGAGAGCTGAAAGGAGGATATGATCCAGGTCTATACCTAAAAAGTTGCCCTCAAGCTAGTCTGGGTGGGAACCCCTTTATGGCGCCTCTAATAAGAGAATCTTGAGGATCAAAACCTCAATGCGATACCATTTGACAGAAACTACAAATGCTGTCAAAGTGTCAATCATAAGTTGTTGTTGTTGTTATGTGCCGTGGAGTCAGTTCCGACTCATAAGTACTAATGATCAGACGGGCACCAGCAAGTGTTGGTAAGGATGTGAACAGACTGGATTCTCATCCACCACTGATAGGGGTGTAAAATAGTTAGTCCTCATAAGGGTCAAATAAGGAATTCCCCAGTGAACCAGCAAGTCCAGTCCCAGGTATGCAACCAGGAGAAATTAAAACACATGTCCACACGAAACCACAAGGCTGTCCCCAGCCATATACCTCACGATCACCCACTTCCGAGGGAGTAAGCAGTGTTCAGGACATGAATACAATGGGCTACTGTTGTTAGGTACGATCAAGTCAGTTCAACTCAGAGCAACTGTGTGTCAGGTTTCTGAAACTGTCAATCTTTACAGGAACAGAAAGACTCATTTTTCTCCCATGGAGCAGCTGATGACTTTGAATTGCCAACCTTGCAGCACTCCTAGTGGGATACTGGTGCTGTCGTGAAGTGCCATCAAGTCAGTTCTAACTCACCGCGACTCTTATATAAAGTTTCCAAGGAACAGTCTTGCAGTTAGCAGTCCAGTGCGTATCCTAGAGCGCCACACCAGGACTCCAGTGGGCTACAGTTATCGTCAACTGCTGATGAGTCCGCTCTGACTCACAAAGACCCTGCAGAATGTTTCCGAGGAGCGGCTGGTGAGTTTGAACCATGGACCTTGTGGTTCACATCGACCCTGCGACCCCACTTATCCTACAGTGCCACACGAGGACTGTCGTGGGTTATTACTCAACCATAAAATGGCACAAAGAGCCGCTGATACGTGCACGGACCTCAAAAACACTGTACTCAGTCAAAAGAGCCAGACTAGAATTCCACCGATGTGAAAAGTCGTCAAGTCAACTGAGAGAGACAGGAAATGCCAGGGACCCAGGCGGGGGGAACGGAAAGTGACTATTTCCTCAGAAGTAGGTTCGTAGTGGTGGTCACCAGCTAAACCCACTCAACTGTGCCCCTCTGCGGCATGTGAATTGTATCCCACAGAAAGAAATGCTTACACGTGGGCGTCCCTCACGGCCTGTTCTCCTGCCGGCCACCAGAGGGAGCCCTCATAATCAAATCAGATCTGAAATCCCTCCCTCTACTCTGAGACTCAGCCCCGCTTCCTGCTCACCTCTCACCTTCCCGGATCCCAGGTCCCCTCTTCTCTGAGAAGCCTCCAGCGCCCCTTGCCCCACATCTGGGTTTACCGCAATCACAATTATTAGTGGCCTGATAGAAGGGCTGAGCCTGCTGGCCAGGGGCCTCAAGAACTCAGGCCCATCCATGCCTCAAGGTGGTGCCGGTGAGACCCTGGCTCTGGACAGTGTCCACACATCAAATTGGGATCGGGAATCTGTGTAGTCTTGAGTAAGCCTCTAGAATAGAAGCTGGACATGCCCTGTCTCCACACACCCTACCTGGTGATGACACACCTGCAGCGACCTGGTGACGGTATGCATGTCTCAGGCCCACCCCCACCTGGTGACAGCATGCATGTCCAAAGCCCATACATTGTACCCCCACCAGTGACAACACACACGTCCTCGGCACGCACATCCTGCTCCAACCTACTGACGATACATGTCTAGGGTTCGTACCTTTCCCCCCACCTGGTGACTACATGCCTGTCCAGAGCACATACATCCTACCCCCGCCAGTGACAACACACATGTCCCGGCTCCACGCACTTCTCCTGGGGACCTATGATCTGCGCTCCTGGTCCCAGCGGGGCTGTGGCGTGTGAGGAGCAGGGGGGTGAGGGCTCGCTCGTACCTTTGGTCTCGTCCTCGTAGACCTTGATGCCCTGAGGGAGCAGCTCCTTGGGGAGCGAGGTAGTGCTGGACAACACCCTTGTCTCCCCGGTCACCTTGTCCTTCTCCACAGTGATGGCCACCGAATACATGGCTAGCATGAGAGGACAGCGTTACGCCGCAGTCAGCCCCCATGCCCTGCCCCACATGCCAGGGAAGGGAGCCAGCAGGGCAGAGGCCAAGCAGCAAACAAATGTTGTATCACCCTTCTTGACACGGCCCTCCCTCACTCAACATCCTTCTATAGCTCCCCAGGGCTGAGGGCAAGGGTCTAAATTCCTCTTCTGTGTTTTCAAGGTCATCCTTGCCAAGCACCTTGAGTTCCCTCATCCCTGTCTTCAATGCCACCCTTCACTCAGCCACCGAACTGTTGTTCCCAGGTTCTGATCCCCTCCCAGCCCAGCCTTTGCTTTACATTTCTGAGGGGTACAGTGAGTCCCCGGGAGGCTGTGGCCATGCAGACACCAAATTCCAGCCAGCAGACTCACTCACATTCCTGGACCCACTTCTGCCCAAATCCCAGACCACTGCCTCCATCCAATCAACAGTGTACTTAGAATCACCCATTACAACATGAGCAGTGCCCTCTAGAAATAGCAGAGCCCCGTTAGCTGTGAGGGTCCTGAGGGTAGTAATTCCATACTAGCTTCTCCCCATCACTGATTGACAAAACCAGTCTGAGCAGTGGACTTGTGGTGCTGACTGGACATGACCCAGGCACCAGATGTGCATGTCCGTCCTCCTGCCGCCTCCTCCCAGCCCTGACCTCTGACCTTAAACCAGGTTCCCCTTTGCTACCCTCCCACCCCCCTGCACTCACTCCCAGGACCCGGTCTGGATTCATGGCTCCAAACTCCTCCAGGACTGGGAGCACTCTCATGTCGACCTCCGCCTGGACCTCATCCTGGACTCCACCATCTCCTCAATGCCGTTCCTAAGACTCCCCTCCCCAGCCAGGGGAATCCCAACTGACCGCATCCAGGTCTCACCCCCAAAGCCCGCCAAGACGTCCACCTCGATCGGGGACAGCTCCGTCCTTTTTCTCACACCTAAATCTGCACCCACCGCGATCCCGCCATCACCCTTGGACCAAAGCAGCAGCCCCCGCACCCCCAACAGGAGTAGCCACAGGCTGTCCTCCCTGAGATCGCCAGAGGGCGCACGTGAGCGCAGATTGGGCTCGCAGTCACTGTTCTCTCTGCGTCCACAAGAGGGCGTGCATCAAGTCAGCCCATCTCTACTCTGCCTCCCACCCTCCAGGGCTCCCACCTCTCTCAGGTAAAAGCCGGAAACCTCCCTGTCCACAAGGTCCCCACATGACTTGCCCTTCACCTCCACTGCTTCCCATCCTCCTCTCTCCTCGTCACTCACTTGCTCCAGCCACATTGGGCCTCCTCACTGTTCCACCCACCCACCAGGTACAACTCACCACAGGGCCTTTGCACATGCTGTTCCCTGGGTAACAAGCTCTTACTGCCCTCCCCACCCCACCCACCCCCTGCATGTCCCCTTCCCTTCTTCCAGGTCTTTGCTCAAGTATCACCTACTCAGTGAGCCCCCACACACACACAGCTCCCTCCTCTCTGTCCTACTTTGCCTGTAAACTAATTACATAGACCGTCGCCCCCTGCAGGACCCCCATGCATGCATATAGCAGTTGCTCAATAAACATTTACTGAATGAATGAATGAAGGATATTTAAGCCTGTGTCCCTTCCCAACCTACGTGCCCACCCCAGACATCTACCTAAAGATCTGCCCACACAGTTGGGCTGGTTGTGCACTGCAATCCTAGCCAGGGATGATCCAACTCTGGGAAGCTGGTACCCTCCACCTCCCTGCCTCTGGGCCTGAGGGATGTGGGAGACCCCAGACTCCCCTGATGCCCCCTTGATGTTAGCACCCCACACCCTCTCGACCAAACATCTACTCACTGGAACAACAAAGATTGTCATTGCTGTGATCATGGTCACTACTGGGGTCCTGTTTGGAGTGAGGTGTTATGGCATTTCCCTACAAGGAATGAAGCCCCTACCTTCTGAACTGTAAACTGACACCCACAACCACAGAACGCCCCGTGACCCATTTGGTCACCTCCAGAGACAGAATGCTCCCTCCCAGTCAGTGGTGAGAGAGGCAGGGACTTCTGGCTGCCCAAGAGAGGGTGGAAAAGCCTGTTTGAGCTTGTGCGCCGCCCCATCCAGGTCCCGGAGCGAGCCTCGAGGTTAAGGAAAATGAAGCCATGAGGCGTGTGGGGTTAGAGCCGCCATGCATGGAAGCGTAGTCTGGCGTGTGGCGGAGGTGCTGAAGCTGAGGGTTGCCCAGGCTTCACCCCAGGCCCAGAGCAGCTGCCACCCCCATCACCACAGCTTCCCCAGGCTCTGCCAAGGGCAGGGCTGCACTCCACCCCAGGCCAGGCCGGAAGCTGGAGCCAAGCCTGGGGTCTGACCCACCTGCCTTCATCATGGTGGGGCCCTCGACTGTCCTCACAGGGCTGTTAGAGATGGGACGCTTCTCTGCTGGGCAGGACAGGCGGAGGGTGGAGAGAGAGACAGGGAGAGAGAGAGACAGGGAAAAACAGGGAGAGAGACAGAGCGGGAGAGACCAAAGAAAGAGGGGAAAGAGAGAAATTGAGGGAAAGAGTGGGATAGAAAGGGAGAAACAGAGAGAGGAAGAGAGACAGAGAGGGGGAGAAACAGAGAGAGAGAGAGAGATGGGGTCAGAAGACAGATCAGATGGATTCCCTCACTTTTGCCATCAGACTCTACACACACACACACATACCACACACATGATCTCACAAGACCACATACACATGTGCATGCATGCACCACACACACATACCACATACCACATATACACACCACCTGTGTGTGCACTCATGACCTCACACATACCACATAAGCACATGCATGTGCACGTATTACAACACACATGCCACACGTGACCACACATGTACATATACCCATATGCAGGCACATGTATGGCCTAATTGTACTGTGCACACATGTGTAGCACACACACGACCTCACATACCACACACCACATAACATTACATGATCTAACACACTAAAATGCACACGTGTGTGCACGCACCACATACATATCACACACATGAGCTCATAGATACAGGACACATGGCTTCATGCATGCACATATACCCATACATGCACACATGTGACCTCACACATAACACACACATGTACACACATGCTTGACCAGATCCTTCAACTTCTGTAGCCTTTCATGCCCCAAACACACAGACCTCCTCCTCACATGCATCTGATCTCCCCACCCACAGAGACACAAACACCCAGAACCATCCAGACACATGGACTCCCCCAAGCCCATCCAGGCCCCTCAGACACATGACGCCCAACACCCCCAGTCCCCCAGTTCGCATCTCCTTCTGCCGCCCAGGGGACTGTCACACAATGCCTGCGAGGGCTGCACGGATTTCCTTTTCCCATGATTGGTTTCAAATTCTCCAGGTAACCTGAGGGGGTCATCCTCATGGTAAGGAATCTGCTCAGGACAAATGAGGCCAAAAGGCCCTTGGAGTCTGCCTCCACCCAGTAGATGGGGCTCCTTCCTTGCTTGAAATGCAAATTGTACATTTAAATATGGAAACAGATGTGCTTAATACCTATTTCAAAAATACAATGTATATCTGATAAATGTAATTCATTTAGTAACTTCATAGCATGCTAAAATAAAAAGGTAGATTTACATCTATCAGGTGACATTTGACAGGTTGTTTGTAGGCATTGCAAACGTGCAATATATTTGCAAACATCTATATGTTGTTGCTGTGTGTTTGTGGAGTCAACATTCTGACACACAGTGACCCTGTATGGGGTATCTGAGGCTGTACAACTTTAGGAAGCAGAAAGCTTCATCTTTCTTCCAGGGAGCGGCTGGTAGATTCAAACTTCTGACCTTGCAGTTAGCAGTTCAACGTGGTTCCCACTATACCACCAGGGCATCCACATGTACATAATGTGGCTGCCAAAAATCATGGTCAAGGGACAAACAAACAAAGCCCACAGTTTGAACACCTGACCCATGTTTACACCAAAACAAAACCTTAAATGTATATAAGGGAGGCTTCAAAAAGTTTGTAAAAAAAATAAATAAATGGAATAAAGAAACAATGGATAGTTTCTTTTTAAAGCCCCTCCAACACATATGTGCCTAAGGAGCTCTGGTAGCTTAGTGCTTACGAATCGGGCTGCGAACCACAAGGTCAGCAGTTCGAAACTACCAGCCTTTCCACAGGAGAAAGATGAGGCTTTCTGCTCCCATAAAGATTTACAGCCTCGGAAACCCTGTACAGGGTCACTATGAGTCAGAAGCGACTCCACGGCTCATCACAACAACAATGCGTATGTGCCTACAACAAGTTTTTGCATTGGTATATAACATGGGTCAGAAGTTCAAACTTGGAGCTTTGTTGGTTGGCTGACCACTGTCTCTGGTATCTGTGTGTGTGAGACCCTCACCCTGAACTCCAGGACAATTGGCTTGAGTTCCTGGCAGGACCCCCATCCAACAGAGTTGAAATCTCCAATTTCAGGCCCGACAGACATCTCTCTGCACTATGAGCCATTCTCTGCCTCAGTTTACAGACGGGGAAACTTGAGACTCCATTCCCACAATCCTCCAGCTGAAGACCTCGCAGGAGTGTGGGGCTGGTGCATCGGCAGAAGCCAGGAAGGGAATGTGGACCTAGAGCCTCAGGATGAGGGTCAGGAGGTGGAGGCCTCAGCAGGACACGGCCCCTCAGCCTCAGTTTCCACACTTGTAAGGGGAGACAGTACAGTAATGAAGAACGTAGAAGAATTGATGCCTTTGAGTTATGGTGTTGGAGGAGAATATTGAAAGTGCCATGGGCTGCCAAAAGAACCAATAGATCTGTGTTGGAAGA